GTCTTGTCTTCTCCATAATACTTTTTAGGCTGGGTTCCAGCTATACATGGTAAAAGAATAAGAAATTTGTTCCTTATAAAACACTTACCCCCCTCCCCACCAAGTATCCAAAAATAAGCCAAAACCATTGAAATCTTTTTCAAGGCTTCACGTGACGAATTACACATTTAACACTGGGTTATTAAGCTGATTAGATACAGTTCTCTAATTATTTGCTGATATGTTTAGCATGTTATCACTTCGTAAACATCTGTATTAAAACATTTGAAACTAGTTTTGTGACTTAACTTTCAAAAAATACTTTATGGATAGGTTCTTGAAACACTACACGTAATAACACAAAGTTTATGCACGATCATGCTTGTATTTTCCAGTACTTGAAAAATTCCTCTCTTTTTTTTTAAAAAAAAAAACCCAACCAAACAGGGCTTTTAAGGAAAAAATGTAGTCTGAAGAGTAATTAAAAAAAAAAAAAAATTCAAATCATTAATCATTAACATTACCTGTATGGCAATGAGAGCAGCTGAACATTAAGATGTCAGGCTGCAACATGTGTGCCTCTACATGTGTGCATGTGCACAGAGAGGAAGGAGACTTGGTTGATGGTGCAGTAAAATGGAGAACAATTCTTTTGAGCAGGTTTAGTATTTTGCAACCTAGCTTTCTATTTACAACCTTTGCAATTAAAGAAACTCCTCTTAAACAGAGGAAAAAGATAAACCAACTCCTCCTTACAATGTATTGAGAAGACAATGCTCAGTAGCAGTGTCTCAAACCATGCAGTGGTCTGCAAACCATACAAATGCAAACAGATGATGCTTTTGTAAAACATTTCCTATAAACTTCATCCAGTGCCAGAAGAACTCAATGGCAGGCAATATCCTTCATCTTGTACACCTCCTTGGCAGCATAATGGGGCTGTACAGTTCCAGCAGCTTACTGCTGTATTACTCCGAGTGTTATGTTTGAATAGGTATGCTTTTACCGTGTAGCCTTAATAAAGGCATCCTTATAGTGCATCTTGGAGACAGCTAAACAGTGTCTGATCTCTGAACTGGAGAAATGAAAGCCAAGATATAAGGAATAGCAGACTCGCCCCAAATCAGCTCATTGAGTCCAGCTCTAAACTCCAGAGCAGGCTGCCTTTGTGCACAGCTACTTTCTCTCCTTGCAAGCTGGCAACATATTCTGAAAAAGAAAGTGAGTTCAACAGTTTGGGTTCTCCCCCCAAAAGTCTTGGCTCTGCTAATAGGCACACTGTATCATACGCATCTGACCCCTTTTATAACTGTGCCTTTCCTTTAGCAGACATTGGTCTGTACGTAGCTTGTTGACTTCACCCTGTGGCAGAGCTGGGTTTTGTTACTTGAAATCCAGATTAGTTTGCAAAACTGGTCTTTGGCTGTCAGACTCTCTTTGACCTCTTCAGATTTTAATTTAATATTGCAAAGATCAATCTAGTCATACACAGAAACATAATTAGCAACTGTCAAATGACCTAGAGTAAATGTAACCATGGTGGCTCAACTGGGATGATGTAAACCAGACTTCAAGACTTTCAAATACTACAGCTGTGTTTAAAAAGCAAAAAAAAGAAAAACCCAAAACTCAACTAAACTAAATATTCTAAGTAAGTATGTTTTCTTTTGAATGCAGAATTCTTAGTCAATTGGAAAATTTTCGTAACTTTGAAACCTTCTTTCTGCAGCCTAATACATACATGAATTAGTAAATAGGTTTTGGAAAAGCAAGGAGACTTACAGCCTTTTATTGTTCCTTTATTGTGAACCCTAATGCTTAAGGAAACATTAAAAAAATAAAGTTTAATCAACACCAATAGTAAATCTGATTTAAACAGTGAAAGAATCTCTAACCCTTACTTGCTCAAATGGTGTGGACCAAGGTCACATTTCAACCTTGATCTTGTATGGAACATTAATGGGCAGGAGGTTCTTTGTAGGATGTATTAAAACACTTTTAAATATATAGATATATCTATCTCAAAGACTGAGAACTCATCCTGACAAATTACTTTTATTGAAACCATCTTTAAAGAGAGTAAACATTAATTCAAGCTGACTTTAAACAAGGTGAAGCATTTAATAATCATCACTGTTTATAATTGTATTAGGGAAGAGTCAGTGAAGGGCAAGACTAACTTTTTTCAATTGGAAAAAAACCATCCTGCTGACACAACTGATAAACTGGCAAGTCTCCCTAGGGCAGTCCGAATCTCTTGTTTGCTGAACTTAGCCAAGGAAAGTATATCCTAACAGTTAATGCACATTTATACAGTGAGGGACTCTTTGGTCTCTTTTAAACATAGCAGAGTTATCACAAGCTGGATGTTGCAGACAGCTTCAAACAGACAGTGGGCAGTAATTTTAAACAGCAAGGGTGATTAAAAGCTGAGGCAGAGTGGTAGATTTTTTAATCTTGCAATGCTGCTGAGGTAAATATCAAAAAACTTTTGAACGCCTTAGTGAAAACATGTTACAGGGCTCAGCAGATGGACCACAGGTTAAACAGTGGGCTGCCATGTCCAGAACATTAGTCTGGAAGATTTAAAGATCATTTCCAGTTTTAGGATCTAGGAAATTGTTCTAGATCCAGTTTCTCAACCCTGAAACTTAGGAAAGCAACTAAAGGTTCTGTTGTAACCCAAATACAAATCCATGGTATACACAGAAGGGTTGGGGGGTGGGGGGGAGTTGTTGTTTAGGTATTTTGGGTTTTCCCTCCCCTCCCCTGAAGTATTTTGGAGATACTATATATTTTCTTTTAGTGGTATGCTTTAACAAAGAAGCAACATTTTTTTTGTTGTTATCTGGGGCTTGCTATATTCGTTCCTAACTCAAAATCCTGTGCAGCTGTCTGGACACAAACAGAATGAATGTTTCATCCTTCAGATACCCCAGAAAGCTGGGAAACACCCTCAGATATGATCAGGGTTGGATACCCTCAAGAATCTCCTGGTATCTCTTATTAGGATCACATCAAAACAGAAATAGAAAGCAGTACTGTTTTCATAACGATGCAAGTTTTAAATTGAGACCATAGTAGACTGCCAAACACAGAAGTACTTGACATTAGGAATGCTGTTAATGGTAGAAAGTGTTCCGTAGCACTGGATGAGGTTTCTGAGTTGAGCAGGGGGTTGTGCTCCCATTTATTTCAGTAGGATTAACCTGACTGAATCCCAGTTAACTTTGCAAACCACTTTCCCTTCTGGCACAGTAAGCAGAAAGAGGAAACCACACCTTAATGAAAGTACATTATCTTAACTACACTAGTACATTTATACATTACTCCCTTTAAAGCTTTACAAATATTTATCATGGCTGCTGATGTATGGATTTTAAAGCAGTTATTCCCTCCATGCCTTCTTTTTGGAAGACAATAGAAAAAAAGAAGAATAATGACATTTGCACAGGCTGTTCTACATGCTATGAATTCACTTCAGTTTCTGCTAATTTCTAGATTTCTTGAGCCAGCTTTCCTGATTTGAAGCATGGGGAAAAGTTCTGCACAAACAGGCTGACTTTCAACATAAATGAAACAAAAATGAAGGATGGAGATTGGGTCAGAAGCAATTTATACACTGCTAGAAGTTGCTAGTATATCACAATAGCTATTTCCTCTGCCTCTTAGAAATTGTTCACTAAATCTAAAAGCCAGCAGCAAAGACATCTTTTTCCATAGCTGATAATGGAACAATACTTGCAAAATGAAGATGTAGCAATGAGTCTTAATAAGCATCATAGCTTGAAGAAGGGACCTTTTGTTCGCCTTCCTCCTCGCCACCTCACAATTAATTTTCTGAGTTAATGTATTTTTCCTGGCATCACAGTGCTGCTTTTACCAACCTCACCTGCATTGCGTACTCCAGCAGAGCTCACATGAGCCTTCACACAGGAGTGTTAAGGGGCAGAAAATCTTTCCTTCTGACTTGCAGTCTTGAGGGAATGTGGTCTTTCTGGCCAATGTTGAAATTTTTTCCCCACTTCTATTTTTTCAGCTTTGTTTTTAGACAAGGGAGGAGACACTGGTTATTGCCCACATGGTTTGTTATCTCTGCTTCAGAGAATAAGCAAAGTCAAAGTGAAGGACAACTCTTGCCATAATTTTTATTATCTTTTACTCTATTATGTGGGAGAAGAGACCTTTTCAGATGGGAAATGCTGAATGTTCTAGTTTTGGTGGCTATTTAGGCACCAAGAAATCACAATTATGTTTAAATGTTACTATCTATTGTTATTTTTTTTTTTTAAGAATAAGCACACATCCAATTAATAAGTCTTTTTGTGTTCTAGTTTTGGTGGCTATTTAGGCACCAAGAAATCACAATTATGTTTAAATGTTACTATCTATTGTTATTTTTTTTTTTTTAAGAATAAGCACACATCCAATTAATAAGTTTTTTTGTGTACATTGTAAAAAATTACATGAACAGCTGGAGGTGAGAGACAGGGCAATATGTTAGCTAATAATGCTGCTCCTTGGCTGGATGGAGATCACTGACTCAGCTCAGAAAGATGGGAGCTATCATCACCCTTTGTTTACTCGCCTAGTAGGTGCTTGAGGAGTTAGAGGTTCAGTTAAAAAAAAAAAAAAAAAGGTTCCTGGGACTGGTTGTGGCTTTCCAGAGCAGACTCAGTTGAAAGCAGGGAAACAGGTATTCTGCCCATCTTCTTGGTGATGTGAGACACAATAACATCATCCAAGTCTTACCTATTTCCATGACTCAAAATCAGGCTAAGAAAAAGTTTCAGCACAGATAACTTTATTCAGAAGGGGACTGGATTAGAAAAAAAAAAGGTTCCTGGGACTGGTTGTGGCTTTCCAGAGCAGACTCAGTTGAAAGCAGGGAAACAGGTATTCTGCCCATCTTCTTGGTGATGTGAGACACAATAACATCATCCAAGTCTTACCTATTTCCATGACTCAAAATCAGGCTAAGAAAAAGTTTCAGCACAGATAACTTTATTCAGAAGGGGACTGGATTAGGGATTTTTGATTTTGTGCATGGTATAGATAAGTACAGCTGTCTTCTGGTTATCTTTTATTTGATATCATCTGTTTTCAGGCATTTTTCCTTCTCTCAGCAGTTAGTGTTATAGCAGCTGCTCTTTACATACTCTGCCTGTGATAGCAAAGCAATCCTCTCATACAGAATATTAATTGACACGTTTTCTAACATGCAGAGAAGAACAAATTTCACCTTGTTAAAGTGAAAAAAGGTTAATCCACAAAAGAGGCCCAGCAAGCTGAAGTGGAATACATTAGAGGTGATTACATAGCTGGCAAAGCAAGGATACTAAAAACCAAAAACTCACCCATAAAAAGTGAGACGCAGGAACCCAATCCTATGGCCAAGTTTAACCAACTCTCCCTGCCTAGTAGCAGCTCCTGTTAGTAGCACAATTCCTACTTTCTTTAGGGTGCACAGCCACTTGTATGCACTTTCATCATTGTACATGATTTCTTCAAAAGGTATTTTGGGAAGTTGCAGGTCTGAGCCCCAGTACTGGCATTCTGAAAGGAAAGAAATGGAGAAACAATTGCTTAGTTGTTTTAGCATCAAAGCTCAGGACACAGTCAAAGTACGAAGTTAATGGGATTTCTATGCATTTGTGAATATACTGTCAATCCTGCAGCCAACCACCTGAAACTGAGTCCCTGAGTTTGCATGGGTAACAAGCAATCTTTATGATGAAATTCTACAAAACGTTGCAGTTAAGAAGTTTAAAATCAGAAGTTGAATAAAAGACCATTTGAAATAGATTTTTTTTTTGTTAACAGTACATCAGAAATGTGCACATTCCTTTTTCTGTATGTACTGGCAAACCACAAGAGTGAAAATTTGAAACTGAGACTGCTTCGAAAGTTTCTTGTCCAGGATAAAATAGCATGGAGCAGCCTGAGATCTCCCTCAGAGGTATTATTGTATGGATATATAATAATGAAAAGATTATATTCCTGATGAAGGAACAAGAGAAGACACACATCGATATAACAGCTTAGAAGTAGAGTAACTACATCAGTTGCATAAGTGACCAATCAATTTTCTTTTGTAGATTTGTCTACATGAAATCATATCCAGTTACATTAAATTCTGCAGGACAGTGTAATTCCTTGTCTTTTCCTCTGCAGATTTTTTTGTGAGCATTTATCTTATTTCAGGGAGATGCAAATGAGAGCTCAAGATGTTAACAAATCCAAGCACTGCCAGAAGGTAAGGAAAATGATAGAAAGATTGAGTCATGAGCAAGAAGTTATGTCATGCCCATTCTCAAACAAAATTGATTATTATAAGAGCATATGACAATAGAAGATTGTTAGAACTGCTATACCTTAATCAGACATCTGCTTGCTGAATAGACCTTGCGATATAAAAGGTGGAAGCCTGCAGCCATTTGTTAGAGGCAGGTAGGGACTTGCAGGCAGAATGGAAAGGGCTTTTGTGCCTGGCTTTCCTTCAGACCTTCTGCTGTTCCCCTTTTCTTTCTTTTTGTCCCCTCAAACCTGCAGCAGCTGCACAGTACATCACCCAAAGCTTTAAAAGTAGTGAAAATCTGTGCAGCTTTAAAATCAAATGCTGCTTAGCCTCATCCTTTTATGTATTTACAGCTGCCCAAATACTGCTAAATCTGTACCTTTCTCTAACAGTATGTCTATACCTGTATCTATAGATGGGGATTTTTAATGTGTGACCAATTCTTATTACTGTTTTCTAGTATCACAGTTCTATAATGGTTATTGGCTTTGCTTTAATAATGCTTTTTAAAAATTTCATAGCCTATCCTACAGCAATCATATTCTGGTTGAGATGGAGAGTTACCAAATAGATGTTACCTAATACAGAGAGAGGAAATAAAGCTAAGATACTGAGTCATAACTAGAAAACAAAAACAATTCTTTTAACTATTATTTTCTGGGGAAGAATGTACTCTGTCAGACAACATGGCCTTATATCCATTTGTAACGATACTCTACAGAAGAGACAAGCATAAACATACAGTGACAAAATAAAGTAATAATTAGATATGATCATGAAATCTAGGCAGATTTTTCACAATATGAAGGGCTACACAATTCAAATCTCATCTTCCAACATGAGTAAGTTCTAAAAATTATGTCTATAGTATTCTGCATTCAACAAAACTGTACACACTTAAAATTTTGATCTGGATTACAGTGCTGGAGGCTGCATCTGGAGAAGGCAAGGTTTCTAATGTGTCTAGCCAGGCAGATAGACACGAAGCCCCCAGGCACGCCACGGGAAGGCACAGCGGCTGCTCGCAGCGCAAGTCTCACTCTACCTCCTGTAAGCGCCAGCATACGTCCCTCACCTGATTGGGCTTCCCCAGAGGAGACCACACGACTCCTAGCATTGATCTTGGCATCTGATGGCCACTGAAGGCAAGGGGATGATCTAGCCACAACTTCAACTGTTGTGGGCTAGCTCTTAGGGCTAAGCCCTTGGTTGTCCCCTCTGATCTCCAGGGGCACACGCTGACTGTAAATCCCAGTGTGTCACTGCAGGCCACTTGGGTGCACGCCGGCAACCAAAACCAGCGTCCCCTGAACTGCTGCACTAGATGGGAAGACGACGGCTCCCACCAGGCAGAGGGAGAGGAACTCAGGAACTCAGCTGAGGCTAGCTAGCCCTGTCTTCCCAGCAAGTATTTTTGCTCTGCTTTGCTAAAACCCCTGTGTCTGGGCATTAAGGCAGGAGGCTGTCCCCAATCAGATTCTGGGCTGTGCAGTTATATATTACTTCTTGCTTTTCTTCTTCTTCTTCATTTACTTTGTGTCCTCTTTACTGTGCATTTCCTTCCTTCTCCATGAGGCAACCTTAGATTTTGAGACCTTGACTCAAGTAGAGATATCAGGACTGGGATTTTCTCTCTCTCCTAAGATTTTGAATACAAAGGTAGGCAGGAATTCCTATCAGTGGGTCTAACGAAGAGCGGGTTGCCTTAGCCTGTGTTGGAGGCACTCTCAATTCCAGTGTGAGCCACAAGAACGGCCTGAATGCTAACAGAGCTAGGCAGTCCCTTCGCATGCACCTAAAAACCAGCTTTTGCTTTCCTGCCTCCTTTCTGCCCCAGGACAGAAGTCCCATGCCTTCCACTTTGTTTCTCCTAATTTCAGGCAACATTCATGTTTCTCCAGGTGAGATGCACACACAGAGAGATGAAGAATTTAGAACTTGTCTCTCACTGCTCTTTGTTTTCAGGACTTTGCTCATGGCAAGTGGTAAGAAAACGTGCCCACACTCGCCCAAGGGTGAGCCAAGTCCAAAGACTCCCCTGAGAAATTCAGAAGTGCAGCCAGGAGGGAAGTGCAGGCAACCGGCTCCCCTAGGCCTCACCAGCTCCTGCGATTCTTGCAGAGGTGTCTGAGCTCTGGCCCAGAGAGGAGAAGCGTTAGGCAGGAGAGCAGCCCTTCAGGTCCACAGTGCTGCTGGAGCCCTCCTTTCAGAGATGGTTCAGGAAAAGGCAACAGCTGCTTTCCACTTCTTGTGGTCTACAACAGCCGACGGCAGCTAACGGGGGAAAGCCTGTCCAGTTATTCATGTCTGGGGACATACAGAACTGAAGTAAGTCCTGGGAACCTGCTGCGGGAAAGCCTCTCCAGTTACTCATGTCTAAGGATATACATGTCTAGAGCAAGGCTTGGGCAGCCTCTCTAGGATGACATTTTCTTGATATTTTCCCTCAAGTAAACACATAGCCCTTCAAGAAGGCTCCAAGAGGGACCTTCACCACCCCCCACCACAGAGCAAGGCAGCCAAAGTGGTGGCCTGTTGCAGACAAGAAGTAGAAGCAAGTTAAGCAAGATACAAGACTTGTCTTAAATAGAGACATAAGCACACTGAGATAACGTAACCAGTGACTGTATGCAAGCACTGTATAGCATGGTATAAATCCTAACAGCAAATTCAGCAATTGGCATTTTATGAAACAGCCAAGAAAAAACAAACACAGAATAAGTAAGCACAAAGAGGAAGGTAACTGCACATGTGAAATACAGGAAACAAGTACAAGAAGTAAAGTGTAAAAGAGCTAAAAAACCCATATGTACAGCAGGTAGAGAAGATAATTGGTGAAGCCAAAGTAACCCCACAGGACAAGGGGAGATGTCCTAAAAAAAAAAAAAAAAACCCACAAAACAAGTCCTGGTTGCAGAAACAAAACAACTCAGTCAAGAGGAAGTGTGCTGCCCCCCATCCTGTCAAAAGAAAAAGAAGAATAACACACTAGCAAGCAATGAGAAAAACAAGGAAGAAAAGACAGTATCCTCCTCCACGTCTGGTCTCCTTCACCAAAAAGTATTCTTCCCCCCCTCACCTTGAGAGCTGCCCAAACCACAGCACCAACTCCAGGGCACAACTGCTAACCCCAGCATCCTGCTCGCTGCTGGTTTATACTGGTGGCTAATTTAGGAGGAGCTTCTTAAGGACTAATTGGTCACCTGGATGTTGATGGGGATTAAGGACTAACCCTGGGCACTGCACGCTGTTAACAAAAGTCAATCCAGTAAAGGGTGGGTTTGAAGTTTCAAACTGCGCTGACGTCTTTTAAACATATCACTAAATCTGTAGCGCTGCAGGTAAGGGTACCTATGGGCAGATGTACACAGGGATTCAGCTGTACCCGACAGAAAGCTGGCGCTGGAGCTCCCAGCGCAGCAGCAGCCTCATGTTCCCAAAATGAAGGCGGGCGGTGCTGCGGGGCGGGCAGGGGAGCAGAGCTCCTGCGTAGACGAGGCGAGAGGCGCGGGTGCGAGCGGGATGGGGGCACAA